TTTATCTCCCTCAAACATGGATAATTGAACCATCAATACAAAGTGTATACTTCAACAATACCAGAACTATGTGATACTTGCAGAAAATGTGTCATTGGGAGCACTTATGTATGCTGATATGGTTAAAGATGAGAATAGGAGTGAGATTGATATAAGATAACTGAGGTAAAGAATGAGGTACAACAAAGACGTGTACTGAGGTTGTACTGATGATATTGAGGTTAAACAAGTTCATGACATAATATCACTGCAAAAGAAAACAGTAAGTACATAGAAGCAAAGTAAGTGAAAGTAAAAGACAGCGGATGAGTGCGTCGAGGTCTAGGATAAGACTGGCTATCCGTTTTGTGGGAATCGAGTTGCGAAATGATCTATAGTCACTGTATTTGCGGGCCTTTTAAATCCCATTATTGTGTTGTAGTGTTCCCTCTCAGAATCATATCGGAATCGCGAGTATTCGCGATATCGTATAATTTGGATCAACCAAAATTATCGTGAACTGTGCCTTTAACCTAGAGAGAATAGAGATCGTACGAAATCATCATGAAGAAAATGGCGTGTTCGGACGAGGTATCAGTAGTTACATTGGCCGGAAGAGCTGTTTACACTAGCCAGGAATGTCCAACCCTGCCCTCCACTGACGCCATGGGTCACCTTCAGCCGTTTAGTATCCAGCAGTGAATAGTGCAATCCATACAACGCCAATAAACCTCGCCCACCTCTGAATGTGGCATACAGTTCACATCTTTCAGCCTCTGGCCTGATCATTTTCCCACTTGGAGTAGCCACCTTTGCTATACAAGGGCGCCACAGATTCATCTTACATTAGTGGGATGTCTCAGAAACAATTTGATTGTGAACTCTGCCTTCAATGAAGGTGAAGAAGGGGGGAAAGCAATGCACGCCTCTACGATAAAACATGGTTAACTAACTCACTGACATAGTAAAAACAACATTTCTAGTCGCTGATTAGTTGTGTTCTAATTTAAGGTTTCGACAACGAATCATCGTTGGAGATGTACGCCTTTGAAAATCCGACCAGAGTGATTGCTGGTAAAAGGTCTTATCCTCTCATTAATGAGAAAAAACTTTTGTAGCGTCAGTTCAGGCATTATCCTCGAAAACGTCTCACCGACAGGAACAACTCTCAGCAGAGTCGTGCGATACAAGATTCGACAGATTCCTGCATTTACACCGACTACTATGGCAGCTCGTGAAGTGCTCGGGTTTTTCAGTGGTCCGCGGGACTGGGATGACTCATACTATTCCTATGGATTTCTGTGGTTACAGGTCGAATTCCGATCCTAAAATGATTAATATGTCGAAAAATGAATTGACATTTCAGGATATAATCGAACGCTCTATAATATCCGTGATGACCGGCTTACCCATCGTAGAACCGGGTGCTGGAATGGAGGAAATGGCCTATCCTTGCTTCCTATATGACAGGTATAATAGTTTACACCTTATCGATACCTCTTTAGACCTCAACATTTTTCACACTGGCGCCGCAAAGAAATTAAACACTATGCGATATATCTAACACCAGTCGGATCATCCGGCTGACATTTGGAGCTCCCCCTTCTCGTAACAGAGTCGGATTGCTCGTTCGATACTCAATTCCTTGCTAAAGATCAGACGGTCGACTTCTAACCGAAAGTTTTCCGAGGTAATGCCATCAATAGCTCGGGCGTTGCTAAATCGGCGGGAACGCGCACAAGTGTTGCAGACACTTATTACAAATCCTCCGCCCGTGATCAAGTATCGGAAAGGGTTTTCTGACCACTGATAAAGAGAATTCATGGTCCTCAAGTTTGTCTAAACCCTCAGATGCCGTCGACGTGATCTGATAGCAAGGGTGAGCCAATTTCGTTTTCTTGTAGTCCATTTACATTGCTGTGTTCATCGTGGGCAACCACTATTACCTTGCTAGGCCCCGTTCATGTACTTTCCAGTCGTTCCATGGTTGGTCTTCAAATGATCCCACATGTCACCAGGCAAACTTACATCATCCCATGCATGGATACGTCCGCTAAAGGGCAGATTCCATGTATCTATTTACTTATGAAAGGTTGACCATGTAGTGACTATGGGCCACGATATATCCTGTCTACTACATGTTGTCGCGCCACACAGAGACTACTGACTAACCAGAGATCATTCTCCGTAAGAGGATCATGGGTCATAAGGATTTTCGGGGTATTAGGATATGGAACCGAAAAATCTTTACCAGTCAGCCGTTGAACTCTTTTTATATGTATTATTTATATCAGTTCACTCACACTGGATAAATCACTAGTAAGTTTTCAGATTTCTAGTAGATATGCAGTCTGTAATTCCGCTTCTTCTTGCATTGTCGTATCTCTGCACATTCGCAACTTTAGTGGAAAATATTGTCTACGAGAAGGAACACGGAATTACTGAGGTATGAAGTCAATTCTCAAGATGCAGCATCGTTGGAGGTCTGGGGCTATGGCACTCCCTTTTCCCTTTATCGGGAACTAGTACGAGAAAATGTCAGCTTCATTGAAGGACTACACGAGTTGTCGTTACCATTTTATAACGGTGCGCTTGAACGGAGTAAAAAGGGATTTTGTGCGTGAAGTGTCATGGGCATTGTGGAAAACTTGGAAACACCTGGTTCGAGTTTTGCTGTTTTCCTCCTCCTAATTTCGAATACTACATCAGGTGATGCATACAATGGGTGCCGACACCGTTGTGGTTTGGTTCTCAGCACTGCTGTCCACATTTCCTTTGGTCGCCTTTACCAACTTTGTCAACGTCACACTTTTCTTCTACAAAAATACGATTTTTCGAAGCACAAGTGCATCGGTCGTGATGTGTTTGTTGATGTTGTACACAATGTCTGTGCTTGCCATGGCATTCTTCCTTTCAACGCTGTGAGTATTTAGATTTCAACTTTCAAACTCCTGAATTGGCTCTGGTGACTTTAAAATTAGAGCAAATATCGTAACCAATGTTCTGATTTCTCGACCACCGTGTAATCAAGCATTGACCCACTCAAAATTCAAATACAAAGTTTAAAAACAGTGATAATGGAGGCCTCATTTTCTGCAGAAAAAAAAACAGCTGAAGAGATTCAGACCTCAGAGGGCATACTAGCACTGCCGTAATAAGGACACCAAGCATGGATTGAGGCTCACGTGAATGATTTACCTGCAATCACGATGTTGGTGTAGCAGTAATAAATCCAACGTCGACAGAAACTAAACGGTCTCCTCTGGTTGATTCGGATTCCCCAGCCTTCTTGTGTTTGCGGTCACCTGTGTAGAGTGAAGAACAAATTCGTGGTGATATTATACCAATGACATCGAGAAGGTTCTTAATTCTTTTTTAATCTCTGTGTGGTGGAGAACTAGTGACCTCACTTCTGCTTCTACTCTCCTCTGTTCACAGTCAACATTGCATTTGACGCCAACGTAGGCAAAGTCTTCGTGAACGTATATGAAAGAGAAGATTAACGAGTATTGAAGAAATTGTTTATTCTTGGTATTTGTAGTAATTTAGTTCAAACGGAGCGTTACTAGCTGTAAAAGTACTAACTTGATCGTATCAAGCCATGAATGAAAAGACGAACAGATTGAATGCTCACGAGATTTTCACCAGCTGCAATGCACAAACTCTCCCCTCAAACGATAGAATAGGTCACGTGGGAAGCTTAAATCCATATACGGCTACTGTGTTAAACTACTCAAAAAATCCGTTTTCAAATGTGAAATGGGAAAGGTATACCATCCTAGAAATTTAAATTCTAAAAGTGTCGTTTTTCACTGGCAGGCCATGATACAGCTTGAAGTTTCAGACTCACATTTTTGCATCTGGAAAATTTTCATCATATTCCCGTGAAGGCACAGTTCGGTATAATTTTTGGGTACCCGGTTTTTGACGAAAAATGAAAGATATAGTCTAGAATAGTGCGAAAATAACGAAAAAGTGCAAAAAACGATGTATAAAAAGAAATACAGAGGGTCAAAAAAGTAGTAAAATGGGAGGATGGACGAGTTTCAGGAAGGGCGTTGAAGGGAGTGTTTTGGCGAATAGACGAAGGGGGGGGGGACGGTACATTCTTGCGATTCGGGCTGCGCGCGGCAAATTGCACGACGAAATTCGTGCTAACGTTGGTTTTCTTTGCTTGAACTCGAACGAGGTTGATA